TTGTAGGGAGCGATGAGGGCTCCCCTCAGCCTCCTCTGCTCCAGGCTGAACCCCCCCAGCTCCCCCAGCCGCTCCCCAGCAGCCTGGGGCTCCAGACCCCTCCCCAGCTCCGCTGCCCTTCTCTGGACACGCTCCAGCCCCCCCAGGTCCTTCGGGGAGGGAGGGGCCCAACCCTGACCCCAGCACTCGAGGGGCGGCCCCCCCAGTGCCCAGCACAGGGGCACGGTCCCTGCCCTGCTCCTGCTGGCCACACCACTCCTGATACAAGCCAGGATGCCGCTGGCCTGGTCCCCTGGTCACAGAAGGAGATCAGTCCACAAAGTCCCCAAGGCCACGGCTTTTCCTTGGAGAGTCCTGGTGGCGCCGGCGCTGTATGGGCCGTACCCCTGCGGGGGCCTGGGACACATGCGTTTCGTGACTGAACACGGACAGTTTGGGGAAAGAGCTGGCCGCTGTGGGTGGTCACAGTGGGTAGATCAGATGGCAATCCAAGTTCATCCCAACACGTTTGGGAAGGACTTGGGGGAAAAAAGACTGGGGAAGCACAGGGCGTTCAAAAGGGATCTAGGAGAAAAGCAGAAGTTGAGCAGCAATTTCTTACAGGATCCATTACTGCATTTTTGTTGCAGCATGAGCTGGGAAATATCTTTGACCTTGGGAACAGGTGGAAGAGTTGGCAGAGTATGGAAGCACGGCAGCGTACTTTCTCCCTTGATGATACCAGCAGAACAGTTTTTTTTCTTGAAGCTGCTGAAACTTCTAACACCGGCCAGCCTAGCAAGTTCCGTGTGTGGCCTGTGCTTTGTAGGAAGTCCAGACGGCTTTCTGGGGCGTGCTGGTCAACACGCGACTGTAGCAGATGGGAGCCTCAGGACTGCAAAAGCAAGTCTGCGGTGGCTGCGCTGCTGCATCCTGTTTAAATTGGCCTGAATTTTGGTTCACTCCTGGGTAATGACACAGGAGAAATTTTTGTGTCTCTATGTTCCAGTTACTAATCTGCACATCAGTCACCAGATGGTGAAATAATGATATAACTTCAGATATGTTTTCCTCTCAAAACTAAGAAACACTGTTCTCAGTTCCCGTCAGGGTAGGCTGAGAAAAATCCGTATTTTCTAGGGACTTTGAACACTGAAGTGACAAGAGCAATTTCACTGGAAACAACTCTGGTATCTCATGGCTGTTCAGCCCACCTGACACCCTCAGCACAAGATCCCCCTCAAAGAAAGAGGAAAACTTTTAAAAAAAAGTATGTTCACCCTGATGGGCCGGGCCCTGAAGCTGAACATCTCTAGAGCAGAGGTTCTCTCTATATCCTGTACATTATCCAGGCTGCGGCAACTGGAATTCCAGTATCAGAATGAGGAAAGAGTTGTTCCCTGCACACTGGGAAGCCTCAGCAGCAAGTTCTAGTAATTTCTTTACTTTTTAAACAAAGGTCGCAGAGTTTGTTCTAACAGTGGTGCCTTTTCTTTCCATACGCAGTTGTGTTCTCGTTGCTTTTCCTCCAAGCCTTTGTTTGAATAAAACTGTTTGTAACAGCGTCTGCATGTTTAAGGCTGCCTTGCAGCATCGGAGCAAGAAACCATTTAGTGTAACACTTTTT